TGATATCAATTTAGTCCGTGCATGGAAGGCACAGGCTACGTCTAACTCCGCTTAAAAGTCAAAAATATTCGGATATTGATCCCAACAATGGAACCATTCAAGGTAAAGGCGATCACTTGCCAAAGTTCTATCTACAAACCTGCCTTGGAAAGGGGTGGTCTTAGTAATGAGGTACAGGTGTGCAAAATGCCCCTGCCCGTCGCCGAACTGCCTCCCCCCCCTTATGAGTCGACAAACACGGTGATACATAAAAACACAAATGGTAGAGCTCCCTGGAAAAGCGGAGCTATTCTGCAAGCGTGTGCAATACTGTAGTTCCTATTCATAAATGAGTGTCTATTGATGCGTGAAAAATAGAGCTAACACTTGCGGGAACTCTGAATAGCATGCTGCATGAATAATCAGTATCTTCTAGTCGCTCTTTTCATCCCCATTTCTGTATTTTATTGTGTGCTTTGAAGGAATGGTGAAGCTCTTTCAGAATTCCTGAAGAGTAACTGGAGCTAGACCCAATAAAAGGGAGCTGAAGTACTGCAGCATCATTATCAAGTTTACTTCTTCTTTCTTCGTTTCGTTTTGTGTACTGTATCGTCTCGGTTAGATAGCGTTCATACTTCGCGATGGCGTGCGTCAGCGCGATTCATCGTCTGAAGAGTTTGATTACCTGAACTCAGGATACAGCATCTCGGTGTCCGAAAGGGTGGTGGTGTACAACTTCCTCCGCAGGATTTTCCTCATCTAGAAAGACCTATTTTCCGTTTTCTTACCCAACTTCCTACCACTTTGTCAGAGCAATCTGAAATGCGCCGTCGGGCCTCGAATCATCTCATCAAAGTTAACTGCTTATTCCAAGTATCTGTAATAGTAGCTGTATGGTAGTTCTAAGGCGCCAACAAATGCGTGAGGGCGTTGGTAGGTAGCGATTCGAAGACAAGAAAATCAGAGAAAAGTCAAAAATTAAACAAAATCTTCTCGCGGCTCGGAAAGATCCTTATCAGACGTAGGTATGACCCTCGGCCCGTGCGACAAAGGACGCCTCCATCCTGTCCCTCCATGGTCCCAGCTACCATGCTGAACCTTGCTTGAGCCACTGTTCTACGAAAACCCTTTACGTTCCACAGTTGGAGGACAACCACTGCCAAAACGCATCGAGTGATATGAAAAACATGTCGCAAGACGAGGAACGGCCTTTTTTGAGGGGAGTGAGACGCCCTCAAAAAGAGTGGGATAAGTCAGACCTTATCAGCAGGACTTTTCGTCGAAGGTCGCGTTCTTGGTCGGTACTTGGTTAGGGTTATATGTGGCCCGAGAGTGAGTTTTTTTTATAATAATTTTTTCTCTGTTTGACACGCGCTATCCTCATCGTTTGCAACTGTTATTCGCATTTGCTCATCGCTTTGTGCTGAGGTCGTGTCTGACCTCAACCCCCCCCCTCCTAGTTGGTATAAGAGCCGCAGTCTCAAACAACTGCTCTCAAGTTAGTTACACTAAAGTCCGGTAGATAGTAAGTCCGCGCGATATTGCGGTTGCAGCGAGCGCATACACTAAATGGAACGAAGTAAGTTGAAGCCAATGTTCAGAACCACGGCACGATAACCCGGGTGCTCGGTCTAAAATGCTAGCAGAGTGTTATATAACCCTATAACCCTGCAAGGAAAGGGCTCCTTTCCAATGCCTACAAAAACGAATTCGGACGAGTTGCCCGTTTCCATCATGCCCATAACGCTACGGTAGAAAGGCTGCCGTATGTACTCATAAATCCATGCAACACCGCGGTCGCTGCCGTGGTGAGGTTTCTATCCGACATTGAACAAAATGGCAATTGCCTCAAACTGGAATATTCCATGTGTAGCCCGTTCCATGCCATTTCCAGATGCCACGCCTACTCCGTCCCAGGGATGAGGAGTGTTGTCCTGTAACTCAGCGAAAGAGGAAAAGAAGAAAGAAATGGTCGGCGCTGAGCTAAACGCAGCCGCACTGATACGCCCCATCGCAGGAAACAAGACTATGGCCCGTAGACTTACGTACCTTCACTGTATTGGACCTATAGCTGTATCTACAGATAAAGCGTAATCATCGTTGTGGAAACACTGAAAAGATGCCCTGAGAGGGATTCCCATGCCCCCTCCCTAGTCGTCGGCAAAGTTAACACTAATGTTTCTGATTATGAATTTTTGTCCTTATTACCGTTCAATTCTGGTGCAGAGCCCGCCAACTGTGGGTCATGTGTAGTTCGTACACATAGGCCACCACTAAATACGCCCGACTAACTCTTCGAGTGGTTCTTCAGGTAATATAGGATATTCGGAAAGACATACGAACAAAAAAAACATAGCAGCTAATTTGAAGGTAGTGGGCACAATGCGTGGGGGCGGGCAGTTGCTGCCAATGTCATTGGTGGAAAGGTTGCGAGAAAGCTTTTGGTTACACCCTACGCCGTCCTCCCACCAATGACGTTGGCAGCAACCGCCGCCTCCAGTGATCGTGCCCACTGCCTTTAAGTTTAGCAGCAGTTGTACTAAAGACGCTATAGTGATTCTGCTTATGAAATATAACTGAAATTTTCTTTTGCAGGGAACACACGTAGCAACGATGGAAGCTTTGACGTGTGTGTTCGCTCTACTGCCTATTGGCACACAAAATTTGACAAGAATTGGAAAATACTGTGACGATCAAATGTGTCACATACAGATGGTCGATTCTGCACTATTGCGATATCGACTGCGGTAGTGTGAAGATTCCTGGGAGTAAACTCCCGTCACCAGACGGCAGTCACGGCCAACCTCCTGCAACTAGTCGTTTTGACCTCACAAGCCCGTCCACGCGTCACTTTTCCTCCCGGCTCTGACGATTCAGGCAAACATTTCAATTATACATACTGCACTATTACTGGCTATTCTTACAAGGTAGGTCACCATCTTTTCCATTTTCAACTTTATGTTATTATGTTTTACGAGCACGAGTGCTTTTTTAGTAAGCTCGACCCAAGGAAAACTGCCGTTGAGTCTTTCTGCTATTTTCATACAGAATCTTGCTCTTCCATGCCGTTATAAAGTCCTGATTGCACAGTACATTTTAAAGTTGCCCACGGGGAAATTCCCAGATTTCAGAAGCATAGTTCCAGGGGTCCAGGTATTCTATAGTCCATTAAACAATGCATCAGTTCTGGAGTTATCTACTTTGGGCTAGGATTCACAGAAGCTCCATCATTCCACCTTACGAAAGCCCCTCAATCGGGAAGAATATTAGTTTTCATAGCCGAATCGCAGCCCTCACCATGGGAATTTGGAGCCGGACTTTACCCGTATTTTCCTCCAAAGTTAGTTCCAGCTTCTGGTCTCCAAGGGTAGCTTGACCTACTGAACATGAATACCGACTCCGTCTAGCGCGAAAGCGCCTGGAGCCTATGCCCACAGGCACCAGCAAAAAATATCTCAAGTAAATTAAATTTGTCGGAACCTTCTCGCAAAGTATAGCTCGGCCCCGTACACGTAAATATCGCTGGAATGTTAAGGGAGACTAATTCACGGGAGTGGGAAGGGTTCGAGGCACCTGCGGCGGCTTGGCCTTTGTTGACCGACTGCAATCTTCCAATAGCGATCATTCTTCTGCTCAGTGTAAGCCACAACGAGGGGACGGACCATCATCACAGACGACCAGCCACACCTTGTGATGTGTCTACCAACTCCCTAGAACTCCGTTTAGCACAAAAGCGACTATTCAGGCGCCGTCGACAAAGCCATAAAAAGGATGCGGTACTTGTAGCGCCGGCGCCTGATGTTTTCGTGCCAAATGAGCGTGATGTTCGCATTCAGGGATCCCTTTATCTCAATGGTGAATTGACAGACAAATGGGAGGTCTGACCCAATCGCTAAAAACTGGGGTCAATCGTGGCCACAAGAGCTTCAAGTGCCAGGTGCAAAGCGCTTCCAGCGACTGCAGAACGTAGGTAGCAGGGCAGGGTTCAAAAACAGGAGTGCATTGTGCCAGTTGACGTGAGAAACAGTATCGGAAACCGTCCTCAATATGACCCCCCCCCTTCTTGCACTTGATCATGATCATCGGACGAGAGTAGGATGTCAAGATCAACAGTGATATGCAGAAGGTGACGATACACTGCAAAGCGCGGAGAGAGACCAGAAATTGACGGGCGAGAGAACAACGGCATTACTACGACGACATGGGCAAGGTAGGCCGGCATGGGACTCCTTGGGCCTAAAATAGAAGTCTCCTGTCACAAAAATGCTGAGTTATGGGCAAAAGTCGGACCACGGACGGGATTCGAACCCGCATCTTCTGCTTTCCGTGCAGCTGCGTTCCCTATTACGCTACCGGGGCCACTTTTGACCACTCAGCTCAATGGCTATTTGTGCCATTGCCTTCGAGCACTCACACGTTCAACGTGATGAGCCGGTTAGCCGATATCGGCAGTGAACCGCAAGGCTGAAGGCTTTTACAAGTTTCAAACTGTTATTGTTCAGTAACTGCTGAATAACAGGGGTTTCCTGTGCTTTTCGTGCCATTTTCTAGGCTTTGAATGCAGCATCCTACAATAGCCTACCGGATCAAGGCATATCATTGGTTGGGGATTCTGGTCGAGTCCGTACGACCCCCCCCCCTCTCCGGCCCTCTGTCCCTTTTCGTCGAGCGGGGGTGTAGGGAGGGGTATACCACCATTCCTAGAAGGCCAGAAAGTAAAGAAGAAGCCCAGAAAGAAAATACGACCCCTCCCCTTTTACAACGTCCGTGAAGCGAGAAAAATCAACTATCAAAATAAATTTTTCCTCAGCCCAAATACGACCCCCCTCTCCTGGCGGCCAAATACGACCCCCTATTGGGGATTCCCCAACAACGATGTGCCCTGTACCGGATCATCTGACACATCTGAGAGGCTGTAGCCTTAGTTTGTTGCGGAAAGTGCTTGAAGTTGTTACGTCCAAGGTTCTGAGCAGCTGTTCTCCAAAAGAATGTGATGAAAGAACAAGTGTAGGGATGCCACAGTATTGAAGCTATAAGCTGTACTATAGTAATATTCCAAATTTGTCCTTTTAGTACGTCAAGGAGACGAGCACCTGGTTCCAAGCAAGGGATCGGTGTAGGCGAGAAGGTGCCGAACTGGTTTCGATCCACAGTGACGAAGAAAACGAATTCGTTATAGTAAGCACTTTGAAGTATCTTCAAAAAGATGAGAGGTAAGAGATCAGACAAGTGGTGAAAGGCAGCGGGTGCGTTGAGGGACACAGTAGAAGTTAGAAGTCAAATTGTACATTCACTAAAGACAAACTTTACTCACACATTTGGGGACAGTTTGGGTGTGCGTCACTATCAGCCTCCCAGCTGTCGTGTTTGAAGCGTAGCGGTTTACCAAACATGCGCAATGGAGATACAGGACCGTGAAACACGCTAATTCCTCCATGCTCCGCCCAAGTGCCCTTGCGGCGCAGACTCCCGTTCATGCTAACAGCCGTCGTTTGCGCGCGGGTCGCGTGCGGCTCTCTTGGCGCTTTGCCAAGGTCCTGTAATTGCGCTTTGGAATACAAGTAAGTTTCTGATGGGTGTTGCTCATGCTGCAAAGTCCGAATAGAAGGTGATGAAGATGACAAAGGCTAGAAATGAAGAACAACGAATGTAGATGTAAATAAAACAAAAATGAAAAAATTAAGGAAATGCAAATTAATTAAAATCGCGTGTAAATTTCTGCAATTCGGCGCGATTCCGGCTCCAAAGCCATAAAAATACTTTAACGAGTGGGACGCTTAGGCCGTTTTTATTTTCATGTTTTGTGGGAATGCGCGGCCTCCGAGGGATATTGCAGAAGCAGCACAGTTGCTCTTGAGTTCTGGCCCTCGTCATCATCTTCGGTTCTTATTTTGCAGCACCTCAAATGTTATCCGCATCAGGAAATTGCGTTTTACTTGTATTCCAAAGCGCAATTACAGGACTTGGCAAAAGCCAAGAGCGCTGCGCGCGACACGCGCCGCGCGGACGGCTGTTAGCATAAACGGGAGTCTGCGCCGCAAAAGGCATTGGGCGGAGCATGGAGGAATTAGCGTGTTTCACGGTCCTGTATCTCCATTCGCATGTTAGGACGGGGAAACCGCTACGCTTCGACAGCTGGGGGCTGATAGTCACGCACACCCAAACTATGAGTGTTCGTACCATGCGTCTTTAAACTCGGAGACCGGTGCTTGCCTTGTATGGAGCGAATGGGTCCGCAACTGCAGCAGCGAGACTTTATCCCCTAAAAGTGCACGGGAAGAAACTGTAAGGTAGTGATATCCGGAGCCGTCTCCTGCCCGAGCTATTAGCTCCGCGGTGCTGCACATTCGTCCATATCGAGGTTTTGCCAGGAAGCACGCTTTCAGGTAATGCTCCATTTGTAGAGGAACGACGTTAGGCTAACGGAAAATGCTTTGCAGCTAAGCCTCCACAATGGTGTTCAGCGGTAGATACATCCCGACGAAATAACTTATCCTCCGCCTGAAAAAAAAACACTGGACATTCAGGATAAGCGACCACAGGTAGCTTAGCTCCAAAGGAAGCATGGTCGCTCCTCACAAACAAGGACCGCACTGAAATCAAGGACGCGGTGTAAGGGTTGGTGTAGATCTGTCCGTATCGACAGCGTTTTGCCCTCGAATGCTATGAGAGAGCTAATTCGCTAATGAATAAAGGAAGAACCGATCTCAAGATTGGCGTGCTTTTCGGCTCGCCGTCTAGTGTCAGATATGACGGGAAAACTGGGTGCAGTCCGCCTCACCGGAGGTAAAGCGGTCTTCATATAGCCTGTACACGTCACCTTGACAAAAAGACTCAACAGCTCAACTGTCCCACTCCGCAGCTTCACAAGAGTTTGCAGGTCCCACTAGAAAGGGACCCGTTAGTTGGCTCGAACTAGAAAGGAAACCAGCAAAAAAGCGAAATGCCCTCCGAAGCCGAACAATGCCGAAAATGGGACTTTCATCTGTTCCCCATGTGTGCTGAGAAAATTAAATAAAGCTCGCTCGTTCATATCCTTGCTCTTTAGTGCGTTAAAATCATGACGGAAACTTTTCAGATCTGGCGAAGAGCGATCATAAGGCCCTTCTGAATCCTTACAATGCTGTATGGATTGGAGGCCGCAGAAGGCAAGGTGGTAGAAGATACAGTTTCACATGGACAGATGGTAGCTATTTCACGTACACGAACTGGGCAAAATTTGAACCAAACGACAAAAACCACAAGGAGGATTGTGTAGCTGTTAGTTCTCACATAATTCTCTTTACTTACTTTTGTAACCTTACTCACATTTTCTCGGAGACATAGAATCAGAAGAACCTGCTGGAGATATGAGCGGGTTGTCGCGGGCCAACGAAGAGGTGGCGACGGCCCTGTCCACTTCTCTGCGGAGTTTCCCCCTGCTTTATACTCATATAAGTCATTTTCCAGATGTATCACAGTAGAATCGATTGCAAAGAGGAAATGAAATTCCTCAAACACTGGAACGATCTGCCCTGCGATACAAAACTAGCCTTTGGCTATGTGTGCAAAAAGAAATTCACGAAGGTTTGTCATCTCACCGGCGAAACATAAGAAAAAGTGGAGGAAGAGACACTGAAAGAATGGAAATAAACTATCTTGCATTATTTGTTACTGCTACATAGGAAATAGCGAAAATAAGATGAAAAGAAGGAGGGCTGGAAAGCAGGGCACGCCATCGCGTTGTGATCATTTAAAGCTAAATACGCCTCCCCCCAAATAAGGGTCTTAACGCGACCTCCTCTCCTGTCTTACTTAGTACCATGTCATTTTCTTTGTAAAAGGGACAAAGAAAATGACAGGGTACTTAGTACCCCTGTCATTTTCTACGTCCCTTTTTCTTTTCATTTGTACCCCTGTCGCGAGGGTACAAATGAAAAGAAAGGGAAAGGATACGAAGGAAATAACAATAAAGAGAACTAGGCACTATTGAACTATTCCTACGCCAAAAACTCAAAAGAGAAATTGTGCTGAAACTTTTTCTATAGGTGTTATTAAATGTCCTGATCACGAGTATGACATCATTTCTTCATATCAGCACTATTTAGCGCCCTGCTGAGGCTGAAACTAGGAAAAGGAAAGACTTCCCCAGGCCAGGCTTAGTCTTAGCAAAGCGCAGATGACCATAGTGTCCTACGTTAGCGCTGGCGCCAAAGAGGGAAAAATTAAAAGTTATTACTATATTCGTAAACAGGATGTCGAATAACCGCCGCATCCAAGTTTTCATCGATTTTGGTGATCTAGGGTATTTTGGCCTCGGCGCCTGTAGCGCGGCGCCAAAATACCCTAATTCACCAAAATCGATGAATACTTTCGGTTTTCAGGCAGAGCGGAGTGCCGAAAACTACAATTAAAGCTAGAAAATACTAGAAAACAAAAAAGAACCTAAAATACATTACCAAACAAACGACAAAGAGTCATAAGAATTTAGAAACCAGAGCTATGGATCAGCTTCTGAATATGGGTTGTTCGCGGTCATTCAGAGGTGAGCGCGCTAATACAAAGGTATTGGAGCGCGCTATTTTACGACCTGGAGCCAGTTTCGAGCGACACTCGAAAAGTACCCTTCGCTTGAGCTTAGAACTGAACATAACTTCTTTGAGAATAGAACTTTTGGAGAGGCGAAAGCAGGAATGTGGAGCTTATTACGTGAGTTTTAGCGATTTCAAAAACATCCCTTTTCAAGAAAATTTCTCCGTTGTGGCCCCAGCGTGATCCTCGGGTCCACAAGTCGCATGGCTTTGAACAGTCATAACAAGCTTCATACAAGGCCTTTCGTAAAAAGAAAAACTGTGCCGGAAGCGCGAAGCTTTCTACTTTCCAGCAAAACTTTCATTTTATCCCTAGGCCTGCTATTCGAAAAAATCCCCCGTTGTGATCACTCCGTGATCACTGCCCCACGAAAAATCAACCCCTCCGACGCCATAAAACCTCCAGTTGGCCTAAAGACTTTGGTATGTTTCTAAAACGCATGTTTTCGCCAAGGAGGTATCACTCTGCAATGCGCCACCCATAGGGTTTTCACGCAGAGGTATTGGGGAGGTGCAACTTTTAGAAAAGGTTGCTAAGTGCAAGCACGTGTGCTCCTGCGATCAGAGGCTCGGAAATGTACTTTGCTCAGTTTATTAATGGTCACGTCGTGAGTCCTTTGGTTTGGTCTGTGATTTAGGATGCCGTGGCGGTCATCGTAGCTCCTATCATCGCCCATTCCTCGTGGGCAACGTCTCTGTATTTTCCTCCAGCACCAGGATGCCGGACGTGTTTGGGAAGTATAGGTTGGAAGGAAAGTCTTGTCACTGTTGTGACTTTTTTCTTTTTTTTCTAACTCAACATACAGTGGGAATTAGTCAACAATATACTCGTCATAGTTAGCCACTACAGTGCTCCACCCAATGGACAGGTAAGCATTCCCCTCCTCCCAGAACTGAGAAGGCTGCGAGTAGAGTAAGTCAGCGCCCTCTCGACTGATGTCATCAAAGTTGCTTGAAAGTTTTCTTAGCTAAGAAAGCCTTAAGGAGGCGGAGCAGGTAGCAGTCGTAGGGGACTACGTCAGGAGAATATCATGAGCGGGGACTGGTCTCCCAGCCTTGCTCCTCAATCATTTGGTAGGTCTTCATGGCAGGTATGGGGTCTCGTGTACTACGAACGAAGTGACAGCTGACAGTGGTTTCAGGAGCTGAGCGACACAATGGTAGCGATGACCGTCTGTTCTTAGAGGGCAGCTCGTTCTGCAGTATCACACCCGCGTCCCAGGAACAGCACAGGAGAACCTTCTCGGAATACATGCCCGGTTTGGACTGCTAGAATGGATCTTCTCCTTGAGAGAGACAAACGGTACTGTGTGGGTTGAAATCATAGAGGACCCATCTCTCATCCCCACTAAGCAGTCTTTGGAAACTCTTCTGACGAGGGCAGAGAAGGGGAGACTGACCAAGGGGTACCCGGGTGCACAGCGTGCCATCGGTCAAGGTATGAATGATCCATCGAGCCAGTACTTCTTGGTAGTCAAAGGCTTACAGGCGGTGGACGACTGTCAGTTAGGTACATCCGAGTCTTGTCGCAAGACTGCGGGTGGTAGCCTCCGGACCCTCG